ATATATATATATATATATATATATATATATATATATATATATATATATATATATATATATATATATCGACAGGGGAGAATCCTGCTGGTTTCAGTTTCTGCGTCTATGCATATCCATTTTGTGTGTTTTCTGTTTTTTTCTGTTGCATTCAGATTCATGATTGTTGTATGTTAGTGTGTGTCTGTTGCTTGTATCTCTTCTGTTTCCTGTTTTATTCATATTATTTATAATAGTTTTCTGTTTGTTTCTTCTTATACTTTTGCTGTGTTTCTTCAACTCAGCGGCCTCCGGCGTATCTTGCAAAGCCGCACCGCCATATTGAATTCTGCGGCGAAGATATCGGCACGAGAAGCCCGCCAGTTTCTGATCAGAGAACAAGTTCGTGTTTGTTGCTTTCTTTTTTTTTTCTTTATTTCGTTGCATTTCAAACTTTTGCAGCATTTACTCTCGTCTTTCTATACAGAATTTGGGGGTTTCCATCAGGGAACGCGCTGGTGCTGCTCCTGCTGCTCGTGCTGCTGGTGCTGCTGGTGCTGCTGGTGCTGCAGCACTGAGTTGACTCTGTCAGGCGCCTGTTTGTCTGTGTTTCTGCTTCTGCAGGCAGCAGAAGCAGCAGCCGCTGCAGCTGTGGCTGAAGTGCGTCTTCTAGAGGAGCGGGTGGCTGAGGCCAACAAGGTGAGGCTATTCAACTCTGGCTGTTACCTCGCCGATTGACCTGAAACCCCAACCCCTCTCCTCACACAAAACCCTATTCTCGTTGCAGTTATTTTATTATTACTTTATTATTATTTTATTATTATTACGTATTACTATATTACCATTATAATGAACCGTATATTCTATTAGTTTAGGGCCAATGACAGCATGTAACACATGTCGATGGCAGACCGTCTAGGGGATGATGCATAGTTTAGGTTGGGGTTTCCTCTATAAGAAATTTTTTTTCTTGCGTTTCCTGCTGCTATATTAGCTCACTGGTTTGAGCGAGTTGTGTGGTGTTATGCTGCTGTGCTGCTGCATTGCTGCCTGCTGCCTTGGCCCTTCGGAGCACCTCTGCGCTTCTCTGCTGCAAATCCGAATTTTGTATGCAGGCAGCTGCGCAGCTCCGGGAGGCTCAGACAGCAGTGGCGCTGCTGCAGGCAGAGCTCGTGAGGCTGAAACGACCCACATACAACACAGCGGGAAGCATTACTGCTGACACATCCCCTACTCGGAGCAGCAGCAGCCGCTGCTCCGCACAGCTAGAAGCTGCTGCCGCTTTGCTGCATGTGCCTGCTGTTCCTGCTTCTGCTGCTGGAGAGTCTCCCCCATTGGCTGTTTCAAAGGCCGCCAACGCTACAGGTTCGGATTGAACTGAGGTTTTTCTTGTTCCCTCTCTTCTTGCTGCAGCTCCTCTTCCTCGGCGGCTGACTGCCATCGGGCCTCTGAGCGCCTTTGCTGTTTCTGTTTTCTGTTCTCCTCTTCTTTGTTCAGACGATGCCGCTGCTGAAGATTTCGCATTGCCAGCCGGTGCAGCCACAGCTGATACAGCAGATAGAGCAGCACGGGAAACACCTTTCACCTGCATGTACGTAAAACATCTGATTGACCCTCGCTTTTGCTGCTGTCATCGGCTGCTGGAAGCGGGGCAGCTGCACGCGTCGTGTTTGGGCTGGCACAGCAGGTGCATCAACTGCTGCTGCTGTTGCTGATGTTGCTGCGCTTATTCAGGGGTCTTGAATTGCCTGGTGAAGACCGAGATGGTGTGTACGCGCAGCAGCTGTTGTTGCTGCAGCAGAAACTGCACGCGGATGCTACAGCTCTGAGCACTCTGAGGATGCAACTCAGCAGCGCTTTCAAGGTGACGTACAGCAGCGGCAATGCACAGTTTAGATAAAAAACTTTTGTTTTATTTTTTGTTTCGAATATAGTAATAAATGGTAGTTATGCACCCGTATTGCGTTTGTTTGTGTTTTCATAGGGCTTTTGTTTCGTGTTGTTGCAGTGTAAACGGATTCCTGAATCCTTTTGCTGTATAGTTACAAAATGATTCTATTTACTGCTGCTGCTTTGCTTTGTTGCTTCTGATGCTGCAGGCTGTTCACGCGCTTGAGGATCAGCGTGCTGCGCTGCGCCGTGAGCTGCGTCGGTCAAAGGAAGAAGCAGCAGCAGCAGCTGCTGCTGCTGTTGCTGCTGCCACTGAAACAGCAGCAAGCGCTCGTCTTGCAGAGGAAAACTACTCGCAACAGCTACGACTACTCTCCCTTCATGTGGCTGAAACACATGAAAAAAATAAAGATACGCAACGACAGCTCGAGGAACTTCTGAAGCATAAAATACTCTGTGGACGATGCGGAGTTTGGAATCCCCTCAGTGAGATATTATTCTGTAGTTTCGTTCAAGCGCAAATAATAAGGCATACTACATATATATATATATATATATATATATATATATATATAGAATAAGTGTAATACAAGACACTCAAGCAAATCTGAACTGGATATGTAGTCGTAGTGTATGATGAGGGGTATGTAAATTTATCGATAGAAGCAACTTGTTTCCTGCACTTCTTGTTGCTTTTCCTTGTTGTTGTGTGTAACGTAAACCCTAACCTAAACCCTAAACCCTACGTGCTTATTCTTTAACTCCCGGCGGCCGTTTGCAGCTTTCCTTTTTGTAGTTTCCTGTGGTATATGCACCTACATTTTCTTTGTTTTCTTGCTGTGTGCGTGTCAGTGTTTCTATTATTTTTTTTATTGTTTTTCATTGCCTGTAGCGTATAAGAAACTGCGAATCTGCTGTATATGGTTGGGTGCTTGCAGGTGACCTGCTGGAGGAAGGCCAGTATTGGGGGGCTTGTGTGATGTGTAGGGGGAGAGTGACGGAGCGACCCTTTTAACTTATATTTTTTGTTTATTTTGTTTTGTTTATTTCTGTTTTGTTCTATTTCTTTTTTTGTTTGTCTCTGTTCTGTTACAAACGAACGCCTCACACACTTTATTTTAGGGGCTTATTCTGGCCTGCTCTTAGCGCATAACATCCTTTTATTTCAACTCTCAGTATTATAAGTAATATCAATGAAGTTCTATATGTTGCATATTCTACAGCGTGATATGCTTTATAGACAATCCCGCAGTAAAGTATATAATATAAATAATAGATACCCAAATAAATATGAACTGCAACTCACATTTCTATAGATTACCCCCTCCCCCGCAACATGTGTAAGCATTGGCCGAAATATATACATATCTCTGTCGAGGATACTTATCAAGAAAAGCAGAGCTGCATTACTTACCCTGGAGGATTCAGCGAGGAAGATAGATGGAAACCCACGTGAATATTTTTTTGCATACATTGTGTTTCAACAGGCCATGCATTGCTGTTTCCCTTTTGTTTATTTCTTTCTCTACGGATATCGATCACTGCCTTTTCTGGTTGTTAAAGGACTACAAACCAAATAAGCCATGGGCTGCACATGTTGCAGTTTATTTCAGAAAATATCACTTTTTTGTGATTAAAATCAATTTGCTTCTTCGTGCTGCGCTCTGTGTGCCAAACACCCGCGGTAACAGCAGCGGGCAGGAGCAGCAGCAGCATCAAAATAAAGAAAATATAAACTACAGTGCGTTGAATCAAGAAATGCAGCTTATATGCTGCAAGAAAGGCTCGCTGAAAGTTCGTTTCCATTTGCTGTGCAGCAACTTGAGCGCTGCTGTTGCTGTTGCTGCTGCTGCTGCTGCTGCTGCTGTGTCGGTAGCGAAGCAGCAGCCGGTGGTTGTTTAGAAGTTATTTTCTTTCCCACTCCGCACGCGATATTTCGTTTTGATGAGATAAACGTAAAGGGTAAATACTTGTAGCGTGGCTCCTGCAGAGCTCCATCTCTCCCCCTGGGGGGCGGGCAGCACGGTGACTGCCTGTATTCTTGCGTTGGCTGCTGCTGCTGACGCTGCTGCTGCTGCTGTTGCTGGAGCGGCTGGCCTTGCACACAAACCACTGGTGCACTTGACGCGAATATGTGCTGGGCGCCTGGAGCAGCAGGCACAAATGTAGTGGGGCTCATGGTAGATAGTGGCGGTGGCATGAGCAGCGTTTGCTGTGGCTGCTGCTGCTGCTGCTGTCCTTGCTGTCTAGGGGAGATGGAGTGAAGCTGTTGCTGTGGCGGCTGGAGGTACGGGTATGTCTGTGAGATGAATTGCATTCCTGCTTGACTGCTGCCGCTGCCAGCAGGTTGCTGAGAGGGGTAGCGAACTTGCTGTGCTGGTGCAGCAGCTGTCGATACAGCAGCAGGAACAGCTGCAGCTGCAGGAACAGGTGCAGCAGCAGGAACAGCAGCAGCAACGGGAACTGCTGCACCTGTGCGTTGTGTGGGGCTTAAAGGTGCCGCAGCAGGGGCTTCCCGGGGAGAGGCTTGCAACGTCTCTTGGGTCCGTTGTAGGCGCTGCGTGGGTTGTTTTCCTCTTTGCTGCTGCTGCTGCTGCTGCTGCTGCTGCTGTGTCCCTTGGGGAGCTTCTGTGCGGTCTCCACCACACTTGGCTCCGCAGTCGACGCTGCAGCTCCACAGCCACTGAGTCTTTGGCTTTGCTTTCGGTGTTGCTGGAGCAGCAGGCGCCTGCTCCTCAGGCTTTGTAGCCGGAGTGTCTTTAACTACAACAGCAGGCTGCTGCTGAGTCACAACGACAGGTTGCTGCGGCTGAATCACTATTGTGGCACTTGGCTGCTGCTGTTGTACAGCATTCTGCTGCGGTGACTGCTGCTTCGGGGGCATAGTAGCAGGCTGAAGCTGTTGTATCACTATCGGCTGCTGCTGCTGCTGCTGCAGCAGGACAGTTTGCTGCTGCGGCTGTTGTATCACAAGAGGTTGCTGCTGCTGTATCACGAGAGGCTGCTGTTGCTGCCGCTGCACCACAAGAGACTGCCCCTGCCTCCGTATCAAAAGAGGATGCTGCTGCTGTTGTATGAGGTTGGCTTGCTGCTGCGGCTGCTGCACCAAGACGGGCTGCTGCTGCAGCTGTCTGACGAGAATTGGAGTTTGCTGCTGAGGCAGAAGAGGCAGCGGCGCCATGACCACAGCAGCCCCCAGAGGGCTGCAGGAGGCGCTTCTGTGGCTGGCAGCAGCTGCTGCAGCATTTGGCTGCTGCTGCTGCTGCTGCTGCCGAGGAAACCGCTCAACACCCGAGAAGTTCCAAGGACCTCCAAGGTGTATCTGCTGCTGTATCTTCGACACTAGTTGAGTCCCGGCTGGAACCAACAAAGGCCACCCAGGGAGTACTGCAGCCGCGGGGGCCCCTTGCACCACCGGCGGTGTTCCCTGCAGCACGATGGGCTGCTGCTGCTGCAACTGAGGGGCAGTTTGAACTCCTCCTGGCCCCGCTGAGAGCAGCTGGGGGCCCCCAAAGAGTTGCTGTGAAGGCGCAACCATGAAGGGCTGCGGTGGCAGTGAGGAGGTAGCTGGGTTTTGGACAGGGGGTGGAGCAGAAGCAGTTGAAGAAGGGAAGGGCTGCTCATTGCCTCCTCTCCCTGTGTGCCGGCTTGCCGGCGGCGGTGCGCTGAGGTATCGATGTTTACTGCTGGTATTGTTTTGTTGTTTTTGTTGTTGCTGTTGCCTGGAGCGAGAGAACGGGGCGGCATTATTGTTCCTCCGTTCCTCTTGGGGTCTGCTTGAATTGACGAGTTGCTCATTTTGCTGCTCCTGTTTCTGCGCTTCCTGCTGCTCTTCGCGCTCCAGCGGCTGCTGCTGCTGCTGCTGTTGCTGTTGCTGCTGTTTCTGTTCGAAGGCGACAGACTGAGAAGGCTGTACAGCGATCGTAGGGTGCATAAAACCTGTCCCTGGCAGCTGTACTGCCATATAACCAGGAGGAATCTGCGGCTGCAGCAGTGTTTGTTGCTGACGTTGCTGCAACTGTTGCAGCAGCAGCTGTCCTTGTTGCGTCTGCTGCTGTCCCACCAAATTCTGTTGCTGCTGAAGAGGAGGCATCACGAGGCTAGTAGGTGCTATCCCTGCGAGCCACGGTGGATGCAGCTGCATGCCATTCCCCCAGAAAAAGGGGTTCACTGGGCTTGATATGCTCCTCTGAAGAAGCCCTGAAACTCCCTGGGTATGCAAGTAGCTGCCAGCAGCAGTTCCTGAGGCCGCTGCAGCAATCGGATACAGGGGGCTTGGGGGCATCAGGGTTACTCCGGTAGCTAGCGGAGTGGAATACGGGAAAGTGTTTCCAATTGCAGCAGTACGTAGCTTGTACTCTGGGGTGGGGTTGTTGTCCTCAGATGTAGGACTGCAGCTTCTACTGCTGCTGTTGCTCCCGCTTCTGCTAGTGCTGCTGCTGCTGCTTCTCCGAGNGTAGGACTGCAGCTTCTACTGCTGCTGTTGCTCCCGCTTCTGCTAGTGCTGCTGCTGCTGCTTCTCCGAGAAGACGGGGAAAGATCGCTGCCAGAGGAGGCGTCGTCATCCGGGGCCGAGCCGAAGCTACGCACAGCTTGCAAGTGTTCGGTGAATGGCTGCGGGTCCCAGCACAGAGTGGGAGTTTCACAATCTGTGCAAACTTCTTTGGGCCTATCACTTGTGAATATTTCTCCAGCTCTAAGTTTTTTAAGTCTTTCACGCATGCGCTTTCTCTCCCTCTTCCACCGAATGTAGCTCTCTGGATACTGGTATTTCCCCTTTCCCCTAATATGTACCGCCCAGCTGCAGTTCTCCCCAACACTTTCTTTCTTTTCTTGTTTATTTAAAGGGCTCCTTGGACTTTTCTTTTCCTTCGTTTGGCTCTTGGGGGAGCCGCAGGGAGAAGGTGGCGAGGAGGTCTTCGGGCTGCCAGACAGACTTCCCCTGGGTGACCCGTTTTGCCCCGCCCGCACGCTGCCGTTCGGTGACAGCGGAGAAGCAGGGGGTCGTAAAAGCGAAGGAGACAGAGTTCTAGGAGAAAGTTTCTGCGGCTGCTGTTGCTGTGGCTGCGGCGGTACGCTCTCTGATGGCTCGGTAACGACCTTGAGCTGGGGAGGAGTGGACCGGCACCGCGCGACGCGCAGGCGTTGTGGTGTTCTGCTTCTCCGCGTCGATGCACTCTGTCTTTCGGAGATTGTTTTCGCTTCTTTAGGGTCCTTTGCTTTGACAAACACAGCGTGCTTCGCCTTCATGAGGGAAGAGAGGGTCGGGAGCTGGAACCTGCTGTCATAGGCCATGCCTCTAGACCGCAGGTCGCCAGGGGAGCCGAAGGGCCCTTCATATCCCTCAGCATCAACGAGCCAAGAGGTCCCCTTTCGAATGAATGTGGGGCTCAAAGGCCTGCCCACAGTGCCAGGCCGGTCCTCCCAGGAGTGCTGCAGAAGCCCCCTCCTCCAGCCGGCTTCATCGAGGTCGGGGCAGCGCTGGGGCACAGCATCCTGGCCCATGGGTGACTGGGCGAAATCCTCCGCTGCCTCTTTGTCCTCCACTGTGGCTTTCGCGTGCGACCACAGAGCCTTGACAAACTTTGCGTATTGGGGTTCCGCGGGATTGAATTCTTCTATGCTTACGGGAAGAGGCTGCCTAACGATAGGGACTCGCCAAAGGGGAGGGCGAGAAGTATCTTTAATTGTTTGCGCTTCTGCTTCTTTCTGTCTCAGGTACTGCTGGTAATGCTTCCCTTTGTGGTGTTCGTCGTAGTGCGGACACAACACACTTGCGTCAACTTCTTCATCTGAAGAACCGCTGCTGAAACCTGTGCGCCCCTTAGGCCTCTGAGGCATCGGGGTGTGTTCTTTGGCTGCACACTCTTCATAGCGGGCATCCTCTTCGGAATGTGCGGGAGGTCTTTCATTAGTGGAGGGGGACGGGGGCGCTATGCTGATTGAAAAAGGACAACGTGCCCCTTTGTCTGTGCAGCAGGTCGCCGATGAAGCGGCCTGCTGGCAGTTCTGCACGAGGTTGTACATTATGAAACGAGATGCATAGAAAAACAAATGCTGTGGCCCCCAGGTTATACTCCCACCCCACTGGGCAGGTAGGGGGACCAATATGCGCCAGCAGTCCGCACGCAGTGCCCGGGGAAAATAATACTGGCAGATGCTTCACTGTTTAGATATTTTTACTGCAAAGAAGAAGAAGAGCCAGAGGAAACTGTACAAAAAAGATGCTGAGGTCACGAAGGGTTGCAGCAGCAACACCCAGCTTGGTTGTACAGTGTCTGGTGCTCGAGGCTGCCTTGCAAACCCGTCAAAGAATCCGTAGGGAAGGAAATACTAGCTGCTGCTGGCAGATGAATAAAAGAATATTCTGCAGTAGAATGCTTCGGAAGGCTGGATTGAATGAGACAAACAACACCATCGAGATCTATGTAAGCCGATGCGATTGCGCTCGAAGAGCGGTTAGTAGGCGGGCGGTTGCACGAGCCAGACGACCCGCAGAACCCAGATAAGCCTTCTTTATACAATAAAACAGGCCATTTTTGTAACAATTCAGTGTAAAAGAAGAAACAATTCAAGAAGAGAGTCACAAGATGTGCTTACGACCGCAGGACCACCACCACACCCGCCTGCCTCGCAGCCGACAGCAACACAGCTCGACGCGCTATGGAATCCTGAACTGTTCTCTTCACAATCGAGGATTTTCGCTCCCTTCTCTACCTTTATTTCAATCAACATGATAAATGACTATATTTTGCAAATATCTGTTGACGAAATAAATATTGTCCATCGGGCGGGAGAGACCTTCCGGACTGTCGCCCTTCAATGCGACCTGGGAAGCCACGACGAGCCAGTGGTTGCTGTAAAGCAAATCAATTGAGAAAGCGTAAACCCAACACTCTTCAAGCGCACAAGGCGTCTAGCGTTCCCACTTATATATAAAACTTGGGTATCTTAGTCAAGATGAAGTGAATCGGGATTAGCCCGTAGTCTAGAAGCAACGGAAACCCGTAATAACCGCCCCTCACAACGTTAGCTGTTTCAACGGCAATATAAAAGATGCAGGGGTGTACAGAACTGCAAGTGAAGACAGGGCCCCCAGAACCGCAGAACCCAAAATATAGGCAGTAGAAAACAGGTCCAATTAATTCATCAAGGCCGGACAGCACAGCTGCACAACCGTGCAGCGTGAAGCTGAAATCAACCACTAACTCTATAACTGAAAAGCAGTGACCATCTGCTTGCTCGTATCGCTAGTTTTCCTTCTGCGTATCATTCCTGACAGCCTATGTTGCTTCTAAGGTGGATAACGTCAGCGCTATTCATCTACGGCAGAAGCCCCTGTACAAAAAGTACACGATAGTGGTGTCATTGCATGCGATTAAGGCGCACGTAGTGTTTTCGAAAATTCTTGTGGAGGATATATTTCCGTTCCTACGCCATTCAGAAGACGCGGAAGGTATACGCGTGCATATGTTTCCTTCTTTTTGTACCTTTGCTGTACAGCCTCTTCATCGAAAGACGAAGAAAGGCAGCTCATACTCTGCAGTACGGGCGATTGAAAGTAAGCAAGCGCTGGCGCAAATGCAACGCTGCATCATGAACAAAAGCTATCGTAAAACGCAGCGTGCCTACCAGCGCTGGCCCCTAGACAATGTGCCCCTGGGCACAAAAAATGTTAAACGTGGCAAATGCAAATGCCACAGATCCCTTCTAGTGCCAATTTGTAAACAAAAATAACATGCAACACAACATGTAAACTTCAAGCAAGCTTTGTTCTCCGCAGCGCGGCAGGTTGCTCTCGTGTGATGATGAAGAAAAACTGGAGGAATAGTCCGAGGCCGACAAGGCTGCAGACAGGCAAACGCCGCACATTTGAATTCAGTATATATAAAGTACAAACGCATAAATGTACACATCTATATATTTATATGTATGTATATATATATATATATATATATATATACACGCGTATATATCGGCTTCTAATCCGGT